TTTTTTTTTTTTTTTTTTTACCTTGTTCAACCGTTGCCATTATTTTAAAAAGTTTTTGTTTTTCAGAGGGCACAGGTAACAGAGATGAGAAAGAAAATGCATAAAATATATGAAGTAAAGCTTTGTAAATTTAACGGGGAATAAAGAGGAAATTTAAAATGGAAAACACGAGGACCAGCAAACGAAAAAAAAAAAAAAAAAAAGAAGAAGAAGAAGAAAACCAACCGAAACCCCGAGGGCGCCAAATAACCAAAGATGACACGGGGTTGAGAATCTAAAAATACGTTAATTGTCGTCGTCAGAAAATAAGAAAAAAAATTTTTTTTTTCTTCATCATAATACTTCAGCGCAGCCGCAGCGGCAACAGAATTGACCAAAAACACGAGTTGACTTTATTGGTATAGTGTATAATATATCTAGAAAACGGAAAGGGAAAAAGAACATGGAAATAACGTAGCGAAAAAAAAATGAAACAGTTTTGCCAAATTTAGAATCTATTTTTGAGACAAGCATACGCCAAGAATTCTCAATCCCCACTCCACTCTTCCCGCTCCTTCCTTAGCCAACGTTTCTTTTTTCACTCCTTTTCCTCCTCATTTTCATCGTCCTCTTCATGTGCTCTTCTTTGCACTGCTTGTTACTGCTAATGCTACCACTTTTTGCAACTGCATTTTAATCTAGATCCATTTAGTTACATCTAAGTTAGGCAGTTTTTTCCTTTGCTTATTTTGCTTCTATCTAAATGGATGGTTTTTATATGGAAAAAAAAATAAAGAAAACTGGAAACAAGGGAGTAAGAGCAGAGTAAAGAGAGAAAAGAAAAGAAGATTTTTAACTTTATCTAGTTTCCACATGATTTGCCTTTCAAGTGACAAGTCAAATACCACTGCTGTGACGTCGGAATAAGTAGACAGAAGAAAGTCACTGCTAATGATGGTGACGACTGTGACGAAGAAGTGGATGACGATGACGGTGACGATAATGATGGTTTTGATGAGGATAATGATGATGATGAAAACAATGGACGACATTATGGTTATAAAGAAGATTCGCTAGCAAGCAGCGATGGAAATAAGATCAAGTTTTTTTGCGAAAGTTTAATCCACTGCACTGCGCGAGATACTGATGCAATTGCTACTAATTTAATCAATGAATATTTTGATCACCGGTTAATGAAATTCAATGCGAAGGATAGCTGCAGTCCTCCATTAGTTATTAGGAGGTATGATCCGTCAAATGCTCGTTAGTAATTGATCAAAGATCAATCACCTTGAAATCTAGAAAGAAACGTATTATATCAAATCAGTTGAGCTAAATATAATTCGAATTTTTAATACTAAGAATTTTTGAATTTTCTTTTTGCACATGAAAAACAACCCAATTTTGTTCTTATGTTAACTGCATTTGCTGTTGAAGGTAACAATATTTTTTAAACTTCAGTTTAGCTGTCTAAGTAAATATGATTTTTTTTTTCTTGCTCTAAGAGCATTTCCAAGATTATTTTTTTCAAGTTTTCAAATGAACAGCAGGAGAACTTTAAATTCTTCAACCTCTTAACGAAATATGTCAACACCTTATAGTTTCTCTTATAGTTTCTTTCTTCGAAAACAAAAAAAAAAAATTCCGAAGGTTTACACTGAAAATTGTTGGGTAAGTTAAGAAGTTGTTTAGAAACTAAGTGATCGAAATGCTTCGTTCAACGAAACCGCATAAATATGTATTTTACGCAAACAGACACCACTTTTGCCACAGCTGTTGCGGCTGCTGTCGCGGTTAATATTACCGTTGCACAGTTATTTGCACCGATTGCCACTGTTGCTGTAGCCAAAAAAAAAAGCAGAGGTATCAGTACCCAATAGAAGTAAAGCACAAATTGTCTGGACAAAAGAACTGTTAATTCCTGAACACTGTCTAGGCAGTCAATTCTAGAAACTGTCACAGAAACAGGACAGTAGATAATTGTATCTCAATCTCAGACTGCTCATTATTTATTAGATTCAAAACTGTCAATTCTAATTTGAAAGTTAGTCTCAGCCATCGACTGAACTGTTTGATACAACAGCCGATAGGCAGATACCAGTAAGAGCACATATTTGTTTGTTCTGTGGTTCACCAAAAATGGCTTAACAAATTGTTGAAATGCCAACGGGTTTATTCTGATAGCGCAGCACTAAAGCAATGAGTATTGAAATAGTGATTGAGAAATGAAGACAACGATGAGATATAACGAAGAATCAACATTTTTGTCCGGAACACAAGAATATTGTCGTTTCATCATTAGTGCTTGTAAAAAATAAATGAAAAAAAAAAAAAAAAAAAACTGACAATTCTCAAAACCTTCTTATTTTCCTGTTCCTTTTCTTGTTCTGTTTTTTTTTCAGTTTGTTAAAAGATCATAATAAATGTTAGTAAAATAAGATTTTTTCTTCAATTTTATTTTGAAAAAAAATCAAAACCCATTCCAATCAAAATGTTTTGCTTCTTTTTCCCCAAGTCTCTAGTATCATTTCATTTTAACTCGGTGAAATCTGTTTCTATCAAATGATCTATTGTTAACAGTCAATGACCTCTGCTCCATAATTTTGTAAAATAAAAAAAGAAAAGAAGAAATGAGGACGAAGTAACAGTTACAATGCTTTGTTATGTCGA